GCCAGCTGCTGATTACCCTCCTACTAACCACAAGGGACACGTCCACATTACAGACTGGAGTAAACAGTAAGGATACTGCATTTACCTTGAAATTAATTAAATAATGCACTTAAGGAAGCCCAGCAGCAAAGTCTGATTAATTCTGGAAACTTCTTGGGGTATTCAGACAATAATAGGCAGAAATTCTGTGCTAAATAGAGACATGCATCAGAGACAACCTCACTTTGGAATTAGAGTCTTAGGCAAAGAGACAGTGAGAATTTGCATTTAATGTGATTATTAAAATCCATTTATAAAGGATAGAGTCTAGTCCACCTATACAAATTCTCCAAAAATGAGATGACCTTGAAACTACAACAAAAAGCAACCTTCCAGGAATGAAATGACGTGTTTTTCTGGACATCTCTTTCCAATACAAGCCCTAAAGGAAAGAACAAGCTAATCTGTGCCACCTATTTGGAAGGAGACAACTCCCTGCAGCTCATCAGGTGTTTGAACTAAATATTTGCAAAGGAAGTTTTGATTTTCTTTGCTAAAAATAAACTCCAGCTTGTACATGAGGCTTATTTTGCAGTCTTCCACAATGTCTTTCCTGCACTATTTTCTGGGAATTTTAAGAGCTAGCATTTGAACAGGTTTTGTCAAACCCTAAGGAAATAAAGGCACAGGTAGAAATTTCATGACCTTCTAAAACTGGGACTTGAAGTGTGGCTTATGTTCACTTTCTTTATTGGTGAAAATTGAAAATAAGTCACTTTTTTTCTCATCTAACTTAAATTGAAATATGGCTCTCCTATTCTAAAACAAAAATAGCCTCACTCAAGTATCAGTTACTAAGTATCACATCACTGAAGGCAAGGCAGTCCAGTCCAGTGTCACCATAGAAGTGGTTTAGGTTTTGTTTGTTTTGCATGCAGACGAGGTCAAAAATACTTTTGAAAAAGCTTCCCATGGGCACCCTCTGTTCCCTGAAATTAAAAACCATCAATTCAGGAGTCCAGCTGTCAGCATAAGGCACACTAAATCAGCAGACCAGATTCGCTGTCCCCTCCCAGCCCTCGTCCCCTGCTAGACTGTGCCAAGCCCTTCACCTCAGCTGAGCTTGTGCCAGAGCTCTCAGCCCTGTCTTTTACAGTCTGGCTTCAGCTCTGCCCTCAGCACTCTGCCTCTGGTTACAAGAGCCAAGGTACATCTTCAGACCTTTAGAAGAAATCGAATTCATTTGTGGAGGTTACCCTCAGACCTTCTCCAGTGAGTGAGTGAGTGAACTCACACCCCAGCACTGTGCAGCTGTGTTGGTGCAAGCAGGACACGAAATGCCTCTGTGTGGCTGGCAAGGGGGCTGGGCTGCCCACAGGAGTTTGAAGGAAAAATTATTCCCACTCACCTTTTGAGTTGGTTTGGATTTTTTTACTATTTATAATACACTTGAGTTTTAAAAATAAGCCTGTCCTCGTTGCTCCTTAGAGTCTGACTCAGTACCAACACCACTGACAGAGAGGGCCATACTTAGAGGAACTTGTCATCTTTGGGAGGAAAATCACTGGGCAAAACCAGAAGTGCCAGTGCTAGCCAGGAGGTGGCAGAGGAGTCAGGCTACCTTGTACACCAGTTTCTGCATTGTTTTGGCAAAAAGACAAATAGAAACTGAGGAAAGACAACAAAACCCGGTCCCACCCTCCATCTTCAGGAATAAGAGGATGAAACCCTTAATCACATTCCTGCTTGTATTTATACTAATTGCTCCTCTTCCTGAGATCTGACTATGAAATTATGCATGCACACCAAGCAGATGAGTTTCCATAGAAACTCAGGAGCTGAACTTTCATTAGAAAAATCTTTTTAGAAAAAATCTTCCAGATAAAAATGCAAATTGCCTGTCAGTGGGTGGCTTTCTGAATTTAGATATAATTTTTTTCTTTTGCACTGTAGGCAGATTCCAGCTGGACCTACATAGCAACAACATGCAGGCATTGTTTATAGCAAGCCAGACTCCATGGGGAAATGAGAAATTCAGTAGCAAGGAGAAGCTCTCAAGTGCAAATACCTCAGAGAAACAAAAACTCAAGTGCTCAGTGCTGCATCTTCCTGAGGCTTTGAGGTTTGTGAGCCTCCAGCTCTCAAAATGCTTGTGGTTTGCAAGGAGCAGTGTGGGGAGGAGGGGAGAGAGGAAATGCAAAACCAGAAGCTCTCCTGCACACAGAATTAATGATGTTCAACCTGTCCTTTAAACATCAGCAGCGTATTTGTGCCGCTTCAGTTAAGCCTCGCTAAAAGGCTGACACCATCTGTCACTGCTCACTCTGGGCACAGGACGGGCTCTGTGCTGGGCTGGGGAGCCTTGGCAGACCTGGCTTGGCCAAAGCCCAGACTTGGGCTGAGGCCTGGAGCCCAGGGTCATGTGCCCACACTGCCTGGAAGTCCAGGCATGCGTGCAGGAACAGGGCATGGCGCTGTTCCTCATCAGAAGGGGGAAGCAGGATGGTGGCATGCCTGGGAAGGGCCACGGGCCTGGGCAGCGTTTGGCACCAGCAGTTGTGCATGCAAGCAAGGAGGAGGTGAAAATCTCAAACTCCTTCAGCAAATGTTTCCTCCAAAAACATAGCAGTTTCCCCTGTGCAATATATTGCAGCATCATCAGGAGGCCTTCCCCTGGCTTTGGGGAGCCTGGAACAGCTCTCTCTGTGGGTTCACTGATGTTTTCTCAGCCAAACTGGCAAGCTTGAAAGCACTGGATACCAAAGAGGAAATTTTTACCTGAGCTGTGCTTGCTGGTGGGCACCCACTCCCCGTGGGCACAGCAGAGCACAGTGCTGCTCCTGAGCCTCCAGCACAGCACAGCAAAGCCTGGGGAGCACGGCAGGGAAGCCACACCAGGCTGTGGTTCTTGACCAGCAAGGCTGCTGGGGCATGCAAGGGAGCTGAGCTGCACGAGCAGTTTACGACGAGGTGGATTTCAGTGCAGCATTGTTGAGAGGCGCGAGATGTCAGCCGGGCAGGGAATTCCCCTCCTCGTTGGAGAGGGATGACAGGCAGCAGCTGCTCGGGCTCCTGGCCCCTGTGCCTCCAGGGCCAGCAGCCCTCTGAGAGAGGAGAGGCTGGATGCTGCTCAGTGTCAGGGTGAGGACAGCGCCGGCTCCCCCGCCACCAGAGAGCACAGTCGGCTCTGCTCGGTCAGCACAACAGGAAGGGATTTTAGGAAGAGTGGGTCTGTGGTCGAGGACAAACTTGAGCTGAGATAGCTCCTGTCTATTCTTGGCTCAGCAGCAGATTTGCTATGGCCACACTTCTTGCCCTTTCTATGCCTCATTATCCCTGTCAAGCGGGTGACTCAAATTATAATTGCACATATTCCTTGCAGTCTGCCATTACGTGCCTGCAGCCATCTCCAGGCAGCCACCTCCAGGGGAACCAGCCTCTCCCACCAGGAACCTCTGTGCCACCTGTGCCTGCACTCAGGGAGATCCTAATATAACACCCTATTGCCTCGTAGTTTTCCTGCATAGAGAGGAGCCTAAAGAAAAAACAACCCCACTGCATCTCTAAATGATCACATTTGATACTGAGTTGATTATTCAGGTCAAGGTTGTGGGCAAGAAGGAGTCAGTGAAGTTTTTCATAGCACTGCCAATATTTGACTAAATGGCTATTTCCTAGTATTTCTCTCAGGCAAATGAATGTGTTTCTGTAGGTATTAGTACTATCACTGGCCTTAAGGATGCTGCTGCACCCTGTGTTTAATGATACTTTTGTAAAAGCAAATGAAACAAAACAGAGCAAAAACCTTCACTATTTCTAAAAGCACCACCATTCTTTCATCAGTAATTTACTTGGGTTCTAGTTGTGAGAGATTTCAGGTTTCTTACATCTTTTCATATGCACTAAAGACAATTAGACAGATTAAAGATTAAGCTTGTGCTTTTCCTTATATATAGGCATCCACCTACTATGTTGTCCCAGGAAAAGCATGAAGTCGGGCATGAATCTCACTTGCCAGCATTTCCAGGGGTGAATGTGGGCAGAGGCCATGCAGAGCTTGGCAGGTGACATGGCAGTGCTGGCTGCTTCTTCCAGAGGCCACACCTGGATGAAGCTGCTGGAAGGTTCATCCTGGTGTGTGCACCTTCAGGAGGAAGCACAGAAATGCCAGGATATGTTGTGGCCTGTGACAAAGCCCTGTGACCATCTGGGCTCAGTGTTTGACTGCTGTGTAATTAACAGGGAGCCTGGCTCATTAGGTGCCTTGTGGGTTCAGACACATCCATGAGAGCCCTATAGGAAAACATGTTCTTCCTAACACTTCTTTCATCCTCCCCCTCCCGTTCCTTCCAGATGGTTACACCCACTTGTGTCTTTTCTTACCCTAAGGACAGCTTTTTAAACAAGGTTCCTCCATCCTTCTCCTCCCCCACGCTGCTTTAGGATCTACATTGAAGTGCAGGAGGACAGAGCTGTTACATCCCATGCCGTTACATACAGCCTGCCCATGCAAGGCTGGGAGGAGACCACATCCCTCTGCCCCTGTTTGCTGGGAAGGAAGATCTCAGTGTAATCAGAATGCAGGAGATGAGAGACTTTACCTCAGGCTCAGCTGGGTATTGCAGATGTGCAGGAATGAATTCAGATGCTGGCTGTAGTCAAACCTGTGTATATTTTCTGGGCAAGGAGAGAGGGATGCTTAAAGGGCCTGTAGCTTTTCTTCTGTATAGCACCAATAAATGCTCTCCCAGTAACACACAGCAGCAGCACTTGCAGAGCTGAATCTGAATCTGCTTTTAAAACCAATTATTTCCACAGTTGCTTTTTAAAGAGCACCTCACTATCAAAAACCACAGAACTTAACAACTGATCACTTTTATTCCTCAGAAATAGGTGGAGATGCCCCCTCCATAGGAGTCCTGTGCCTGCTCTCATGTGGCAGCTTGGTGGGAGCTTGGGGTGCTCCATTTCTTCCTCTCCTGAGCGCTGTTGTTAACTGCCCATCACTTATTTGTTGGCAGGGCCTGGTGCTGAGCAGACTTGGGCGGAGGGAGCTGGCCCAGAAGGTCCTCAGAGACGCCATCCGGATCCAGACCACCAGCCACACTGCCTGGAACAGCCTTGGAGAGGTCTTGCAGGCTCAGGGCAGAAACGAAGCAGCCATTGAGTGTTTCCTCACTGCCCTGGACCTTGAATCCAGCAGTCCTGTCATTCCATTCACCGTCATACCCAGGGAGCTCTGAAGCTGCTCCCCGCAGCTCTAAGCACTTGCATTGCCTGGACAGACACCAAAACCAAGCAGATAAACAAAGAAGAAGCCCAACAAAAAGTGCCATTGTAACCTGGAACTAGGCTAAGTAATTCCAGGACGGGGCTCAGGTCTACAGGCTTAGCTTAGACAAGCCAAACTGAAGAAGAAATTGCAACAGGCAGGAACAGAGAATGCCTTTTTCTTCACATGTGCCTGGCTAACCTCCTTTTCAAGTTAATAGCAAGGCTTAGTTCAAAGTGCTGGTTCAAGGTGACTGTAGAAAAATCATGCTAGGGTACAGCTATTCAAAGCACTTGCACCTTTCAGTGTTGGTTGAAAATAAAACCCCCAAGCCCTGAATTAAAGCCCAGAAATGCTCTAAATAGGAGTAAATTCAGCAACTTGAGCAAGTTGTGTTTAAGTATGTGGCTGTCTCCCCACAGATCTGACAGGACAAGAATGACACTTGCAACAAATAGACATACAATATATGCTGTTTACAAAATTATTTCATCTATTTTGATAATCCTTTCTCCTGCCTTGCTTTTATATACTGTATATGCTCACTATATTTAGTGAAGCACTTGCCTAGATAAATTTAAAATTAAATTTTAGTTTTAAATTAAAAATACTTTTTTAAAAATAAAGCTGCTATTGCAGTATAACTCACAAAAGCAGTAAGACCAAAGACCAAATCAGTTCACACTTGAACTAGTATTAAAAACACATAAATATCTCCACTTACATATTTATTGAAAGGCCTTACGTGAAGTAACTAATTATAAGCTCTGAGCTTCATTCTTATTAATCACCTATTGCATCAGTTTAGCAAGGAATATAGTGTTTACCAGTATATAGTAACTGAACTCTGTGCTCTACTACATCACCAATCCTGGCACAAAACATTTTCATATCCTTCTTCTGATGATGCAAAAGAAGGCAGCAGTCTTTTAAGGGGAAGTGTGCTGAAGGCAGTATGTGTGTGTATGAACTGCTTCTTCCTTAAAACTAAATCCTTGGATTGTCCATAGAAGTTTCACAGTAGAGGTATGGAGTGGAGCCTTCAGTGGAATCATTTTGCATCTCCTGTCAGGTGTAATAGTGAGGAGCTTCTGATGCACACAGCCTCCCCATGGCTGGGACAGCCAGGGAGGAGACACAGCTGGCACAGCCCCTGCTGAGCTGCTGCTCAGCTCTGTGTGACCTCCCCAGGGCCTGGCAGGGAGGTGGAGCTGGACTGTGCTGTCACACAAGAGCCAACCCTGACCAGACCAGTCCCAAGATAAAGAAGATGCAACAATTTGCTGCACTTTTCTACAAAAAATAAAAAAAGGTTGGGGCTTTGCGCCCATTTTTGTCCAAAGATTTGTGACTATTTACTAAGAAAGTTTGCACTAAAGCACACTTTGTACTATAATTCTGCCCAGTATTGTGATCCACAACTAATTCACTCTGGAAATAATAATATCCTCAGGCAATAAATAAGATGGCATGTTTCTTACAGAGCCTGAGGCTCTGGCAGCAGACTTGAAGTCATTGTTGTTTACAGTTATTTGGAAATCTGCAGGCTAATGGAGAGCTGGGCCCTTGTGTTGCTCCTGGCCCACACCATCAGAGAGCTCCCGCCCCCAGCCTTCCCTCAGGATGCCTGCACCAGGGGAAGCACACTGCTCTCAGGTTCCTCGCAGCAGCCTGGTGCACTCCAGGCCTATATTTTTATTTTTTCCCCTTAAATGATGCAGATGCAATAGCCCAGCTTATTTATCTGTTCACTGAGGGATTCCAGATCTGATGTAGGCTGATTTCGCTGCAGGTGAAAGCAGCCCAGCCGTGAAAGGTGCTCAGCCCATGAGTCCTCTGGCTTTGCAGTGCCACACAGGCACCCAAAAGGACTTTTTTAGGCCAGGGGCAGGTTTCCTAGGAGACAGTGTTCCCCAGCCACATTCCTTCTTGCAATAGCACCAGCAGCAGAGGAAGGAGTAGGTGTTAAAGTAGCAGAATTAAAGGAGTTTCAAGAAGACAAAAAGATGCAGCAAGACACGTTTTGCTGCAAAGGATGCTCTGAAGTCAGCTCACTCTGTACTGCAGGGGGAAAGAGGGAAGGGGAGGGGAAAGATGCTGTTGTTGACATAATATGTAAATTGTTACCCAGGTGTTTTAAGCCCATTTCACAGTCAGATGCAATCTGACAATAGACTTCAACAGAGATATATATAAATAGACGTTATGTTCGGGTGTTTGTCCTGCCCCACAGTTGCCGGGGTGGGAGCGAGCCCTCTGTGTGCGGCACAGAGCCGGAGTCGCCGCTCCCTTGTGCCGTGAGTGTTTGCACAGCACTGCCATAGCAACTTCAGTGCACTGGGCAGCCACTGGAGAACAAGCTGTGCATCCACCTCTGCCACCCAGGAGCTGCTTGAAGAGGTCTGTAATGGGGCTGGGCTGTGACCTGGCAGGAGAGTGCCTGTTTCCCAGCAGCAGCTGAAAAGCAAACACTCACAGATCCATTTGCTCCTGCACACGTAGCTTGTGAGCAGCCAGCAGCCCATCATCACGTTTGTTGTGATCAGGCAAACTTCATCCTGATGATAATCACACTTGCCACAGCACTCATCTTCCTGGAAGAGGGGCAAGCATTAATGAATACTTTGAGTGCATCAGCAAGTCAGGTGTTGCCAGGGTGGTCCCATCTTGTGTGCATTAATGAGCGTTGCTGGCATTGGAATCTCAGTCCTAAGAGCCTCTGCTCCACGTGTGGCAGGGAAGGTGTGCCTGAGTAAAGGCCATCATCACCAGGAATCAGAGGGCTGTGGTACCCTCTGCCAGCTCACCACACCACAGCACTCACAACAACTGCAGACAAAGTACTTTGCATACATACTGGACTCAATCCTGAGATTTCCTGCCTGCTTCCCAGAGGATGCAAAGTACCTCTTGGCTGGAAGGGTATTTAAGTGACTTGAAATGCTCTGTACAATGCAGGAAAGAGAGTGGTTGTTGCATACTTACAAGTACTTTGAGGGTGAATCCTCCAGCTATATTTGTTAAACATGCTCAGCAAAACAGAAGTCTTCCCAAACTTACATGCTACCTCTCTCACTCAGCATGGATTTTGTTCACACTTCCAGATACAGAAAAACAAAGACAACTGCTTCAGACAGTCCTATGTATTGTAGTATTTATTTAGATAGCAATGTTGATAAATCTGATAGACTTACCTCCCTGAGCTCAGTAATAGGTGTGGCAGGAAATCCTGGCATGCTTAATGCTCAGGGTTTGAGATTTAAGAACAGAAGATTTACATCCCTGTCTCGTATGATTATTACAGATCGTAAGTAATGGGAGTTCGGGGAACAATAACTTTGGGGAGCCAACTATGCAAGTTTTAGCATTGACTTGAGTCTTAGCAGAGTTTTCTCATTCATTAGTTTTGAAAGAGGATGATAAAAAGCCCATATCATTGCCTAAAGTATTGTGGTCTTCTTGTTCCACCACAAGGTTCTTTTTCATTTTTTTGGCAGAGTGCATGCAAAAAGAAAAAATAATTACCTTCTGTTTTCGTGTTGTGCAGTAAAGGAGTGGTATGTGCCGTTGCCTTTGGCCAACAAGGAGGATTGCATATTGTAACAAAAGTGACTCTGCCTCCAGGACAACAGAAGGAGAAGCCCAGCAGGCCAGGGAACAGCTCCCCTCCCTGCCTTATCCCCTGTGCAGTGCCATTGGTGCCCCTGGAGCAGTTGGTTCCGGGCGTCCCCAGCTGAGCTCTGCCCAGCCCGCGCTCATTCCGCACAGGGAGCGCGGCCGATCTGCGCCGCGCACGGACCCCGTCCGTTTCTATTGGAAACACTTCTTGCTCCTGATTATCACAATGCTTCACAAGTGCTAATTATCTTTTCTTGGTAATGACTAATAAATCCAAATGGAGAACAGTCCTGGAGGGTGTTTACTGGAAAATTCACTGGCTGGGTACCAAAGCAGGCACAGCACTGGCTGCTGCAGTTGGAATTACAGTTATTTTGTCCAAAAAATGTTCCATTTTCAGAGAGTCTTGGTAAAGAATGAGTTTGGCTAGTTTGTATTTCTTTTTAATTACAGCAAAGTGGGAAACAATCCCTTTTAGTGAAAAGGCACCACTGCCATGATCTTTTTTCAGCCAAACCAACAGAGATTTGATAGTTGCAGTTAAGCCTACAAGAGGAAGGCTTCCCAAAGCAACTGTGCTGCAGCAATAATTCCCTCTGACTCAATTGTATTACAGGCATATTTGACAATTATGCAATGGGCATGTGTTGCTGAAATGCCTCTCCCTCCTTATTTGGCCGAGGGGAGCTGCTTTGTGCCCACAGGGACAGCTGTGGCACACATCTGGGTGCTGTCAGCCCTGCCCTGGTGCCTGCCACCTGCAGGGTGGCTGCTGGTGACCCTCAGACTGCTCCCCAAGCCTGGCTCCCAGGGACGCTTTCCTTGCTGCTGAGTTGTTGCTCAGAGCTGCAGGATGTCAGTGCATGCTCAGACAGAGGGTTGTTTTCCCAGAAATGGAAAGCTGAGTCGTCCATCAGTCCGTGATGCTGGCGGGAAGGGAGGTAACCACTGACCCAGCAGTTGCTTCTAATGAATTGGCTTGTGCCTTCAGCTCCAGAAAACCAAGGCAGGTTCCCAGGTGACTGGGTACTAAAAGATCCAGCTGGTTTTCTCACAGAATCACATGCCAGTCAGTGTCACAAACCTCTGATAGGGATGCAATGCTGCAACCACTGCGTGGCAGCCCATGATGATTCAAGTAAAGAACCTCCCTGAGCCAGTGCACAGAGAGGTGCTCAGCCTTTGCACATCCAAGAATCTCCACCATGCCACTCTGATAGTGTTGTCACAGGGTACAGAATCAGTTTTCCATGTAATTTCTTTGGTCACTATGATATTTCCACCGAATTTAATAAAATTGACCCTGTGGAAAACAAAACTTGCTCCTTATATTTCCTGCTGATCTTATTCATGCCATGGATGCTTCAAGCATTATGAAATGTCCAGTTGTTATATTAACTGGAACCCAGTGTGCCTAGGAGTTACCAGTTGCAAAGGGTATTTTGGCCTACACCCTGTAGTTCATGGGAAAAACGAGAGTGAGCATGCAAGCAGCGTGCCTTCAGAGAGGAACAGAGCCAGGAAAATGGAGCAATGTAGCTTCAGATGTTTGGATTTGTGGAGGTTTAAGTGAGCATCATGCTTTTCTTGTGCTTCATCCAGTAAAAATAAACAAAGGTGGTGTGAGAAACTCTAACATCGAGGTTAATATGCAAATACTATGCTGTCAGGTTTAGGGACTTACCTTACTTTGGCCACAATGCCATTAATCATCTTTTTTGCTGCAAACAGTTACTCCTGTGATTATTTGGAAATAAAATGTCTCCATTCAAGAGTTTCCAGAGCATTCTGTGCATTTACGCATTAATCTTTTGGGCAGGTTTCAAGAAGGCCTGCTTAAAAAGTCCATCCCTTAGTTTCATACTCAAATGAGATTAAGGATGAGGTTTTTGAAGAACATTTCTTCATAACTGTGGCTGCTTTGGTTTATGAGTGTACTCAGCATAAATCAAGCAGAACGAGGTTCCTCTGTGGCAATAACAGATTTAAAGTCCTTCGGCTGCTCATAAAGTCTTAAAAATTGAAAACTGAAGTGAATAAAATACTGGCTCTTTTTCTTCATTTTTCTCTTGATGTGGAGAGGGAGCAAAACACTGGTGTGGGGCAGGGAGGGAAGGAGGGAGGGAAAAAGGGAGAAGGGTTCCATGTCCCCTCCAAGCAGGAGCCCAACTGGAGGCCTGCAACTGAGCCCCAGCCAAAGCTGGAGAATTTCATTGTTCAGTGCCCTCTGAGGAGACCACTCATCTTTGCTGGTACCTAATGCTGGCACATTGCCTGGTACCTGCTCTGCATCACACAGACATTTAATATTTCCTTTCTGTTTAAATGAGAAGAAAATAAGTCCTTTTGCCCCTCATTTTTGCTGGAAGGAGCTGCAGTTGGTTTGGGAGCTCCACCTTTAATACAAGAATCTCTGCAAGAATCATTTCTTCCCTTGCAGAGAACCGAGTTGCATTTCAATGGTCCTCTTGAAAGGTCATTAAGAATAATTTAATAAATTTTAATAATTTATTATATATTTTATCTAATTTTTAATAATTTATTCATATCTCCACTTCTTTCTGCACCAGAATGTTCAGATACATATAATATATTCCTGCTTCATGTGAGGTCCAGATATTTGGCAGTTCTGAAATTTAGCAGTCCCATAAACTTCCCAAGGGAAGAGATGAGAAGCATTGCTGCTTCCCAGATGCTCTCTTCCATGACAGTCTCAGGCAATCAGATTTTTGTGGAGTCACCAAAGCACCAGAGTTTACTTTGTCTTTAACCACATCCCTCAGGAAATGTCACATCCCAGTCAGACGTGCCTGAACCAGTCTTTGCAACAAAGGGAAAATAACCTCGTACTCTTTAAAGGCTGGTGTTAGAGAAAACAGACTTGGGCAACACT